CTTCCCCTGTCCACCACCTCCAACCCTTACACGGTGCCCACAAATATCCACAGGCAAGAAAAACAACCCCAAAACAATGACACAATTGAGAAAAACAACCTTGCAGGTGGAAGGACAGAGGCTCACACTCACCTAGGTAAATGTCTCCAAATGAACCGCTGCCAATCTTTCTGCCAAGCCGGTATTTGTTCCCCACTCGAAGCTCCATGGTTCAGTCGTGCTGAGAAAAGAAGCACAGAAAGCGCAGCGTCAGAGAAGAAACAGGAAGTGATTCACGCAGGACTACAGAAGAGACCTCCCCACTTCACCCAGAGTGTTGGTACATTTTTTCATCTTGAAATACTTCATTTTCTACATGGCCTCTGTCCTCTCTCCTGATCTCCTGGATGTCCAGGGACAGCGTGAGATAGAAATACTGCAGGAATGTGACCCTTTCAAGCATGTTTCCCATTATGGGAACGAAGAAGGATTCAACTTCTTGCTCACCATTTTTTTCAGAGACTGGAGGAGGGAGGGGGGATGTGGCAAGGGGGCAGGAAATCCTAAGAAGATTTCAGTGGGTCATCTCTACTTCACACTATCGTGAAGAAAGATGTTACTGCTCTTTGGATACAGGACCTGGCACCAGAACCATGGTACTCTCAAGAGACACCAGAAGGGACAAGTGTTAAGAAAACTTACGAGAAGGACTGCTCTCTGGCCCAGCCAGCCCTAGACCAGCACCTCGGTGGCAGCAAAGCACAGGACCTAAGGGCTTTGAGAGACAGACAGACTGCCAGGAGCAAGTGACTCCATCACCCCTAGGCAGGGGCCAACATAGGGGACAGGGAGGAGACATCTCCTGGAACTGAACCCTGCGAGGCATGCGCTGACTAGGAACACCTCTTGCTTATCTCCACACGCTTCTGCTGATGGGATCACAGCCTCCTCTGGTCTATCTGAGCCTCACTGTCTCTGTTGCCAAGCTAGGTGTGCCAGCTGTTTGTTTTTTAGCAGCTCAGGCCTTTCCTCATCCCTCTACCCAAGGTGATTAGCTAACCCTTTGACCTGCTATGCCCCATCAACATGTCCAGGCTTAGCCTACTCACCTTCCACAGAAAACCAACTATGTGGAAGGACCATGACCACAGAGTTTGCTCTCCCTGCCAACTTCAACTTCTGCTGCAAACACCTCAGCCAAACAGTTCCAGCAGTTCCCTCGTTAAGAGCCCCCTTTCCCTTGCCCCTTCCATGGCCACCAACTTATTTTAGGAACCACGACTCTTCCCGAGACAGCCAACGCGCCTCCTTTTAGAGGTATCTGCCGCACTCCCAATTTATGCAATGCCACTTTATTAGCGTACAAAATGCAGACACAGAGCCTGTTGGGGACAGGAAAGGTGAGGAATGATTCATGTTTTCACAAGTAGGTGAGAGGAACTTTCCCTTGCTGAAGCTTGCTGGGAAGGAAGCATCACTGAAGGAAAGAAGGGAGGAATGGCTTTGTGAGACACAAGCACAAAAAAAAATAATCCCAGCTACAGGATTCTGAGCATACTATAAACCCAGAGCTGCTTCTCCTGCCCCAGGAGATGGGATTACAGAAAGAGGAATGGACGGGCTGCAGAGACATACAGGGAAATAATCCTATCAAGGCATTCAGGGGACATTGTGAACCCTGAAAGCCGAGCTCCAGTCACCAGAAACCACACACAAAACACTTAAGAGGTGGAGTCCCCTCACCTACTATTTACTTATGCATGTGGGTTCCTGTGCATCTAAAGTCTACAAAACCCTGTGGCTATTTCTGACTTTCTTACTACGAGGAATGTAGGCAGCGCCTTGGGAACGAACCAGGAGGCAGGCGTACCTGAGCGAAGGCACAGCAAACAAGACATGATTTTTATCCACTGCCTGCTGTTCTGTATAACCACATTATCATACATCTGACTTGCTTACACTCCTACTCCAATAAACGATCAAAGGTCTGTGTCCCCGGGAACCCGTCACACCACTGTCAGGAAGACAGCTCTCGAACCTCCTTCCTTCATGGCTGTGTTTACCCAAGGCCTTTGAACCCCGAGCACTTCCACTCGAGTCCAACTCACAGCTGGGCAGGCAAGCAGAGCCCAGCAAAGCTGCAGAGGCTGGGCAGCAGGTCCTGACGGGGTCCCCTCCACACACAGACTGGTTACTGCTCTGCAACACCACAGTCTCAAGCCTAAATTCGGTCCCACCCTTTGTGGGACTGGCAGGAGCCAGGTTAAGAAGGGTTTCTCGCCTGGCGAGGCAGCAACCCTTTTAGCTGATTAAGCAACAGGCTCCAAAGGGGAATCTAAAAAATGCTCCGGGGCGAGGGGGTGGAAGCTGGAAGCGGGATAATGGAGTGAAAAATCATAGTCTCGCGCAGCTGTCATTTCGCCTTATCTCCCCCCCAACATACACAGGCAAGTGTGCTTAGAAAACTTGGGTGGAGGACAGCCAGCGAGCAAACAGCC